AAATGATTTAAATAAGAAGTTTTTAAAAAGTTTGTTATTTAGCTATCAAATTTTGGATTATGAAAAAGTTTTATCTAATTATTTAGTAAATCAACTTATAACTTATAAAAGCTAAATAAAATCTTTTAAATTTTATATGCATCAGAATTATATAGTATAGAAATTTGATAGTATATTATATAATAAAAGATAATTTTATATAAAAAAATTTTTTATATAATATTATATAATGTTAGTTCTGAAAAATTCTTTTCAGTTTTAAAATGAATGTGTTCAAAATATTGAACAAAGTAATTTTTATTTTTTTTTTAAAATTAAATAATTTTATATTAATTATATTTATATTTAAACTAAGTTTAAATATTAAATGAATAAAAGTAATAGCAAAGTTATATACTTATTATGTAACAAATACAAAAATAAAAATAAATTATATTAATTAAGATTTTACCAAAGAACAACTTTTTAAACAATTAATTAAAATTTAAATATTATAAAATTTTCTAATAAAAAATTGAAAAACAATAAGAAAAATTAAATAATAATAATATTGATAATGATTAAAAATGGTATTACAACATTATGTTGCTTATTTATCACTTGTTGTAACTTAAATTTTAATAATATTGCAATTCGTTTCAACATTATGATGCTCATTTGTCACTTGTTGTAATTAATTGAGGTGTTATCTTTAATAATGATAATAATGATAATAAAAATAATCTTGATGAAAATAAACAAGAAATACCAGAAATAAATAATGAAATAATTATGAAAATTATTTTGATTTAATAATTAAAAATTTTAAAAAGTATTTAAAAATAAATGTAAGAACAGTTATTAAAGAACTGATAAATTTTGATTATATTCATAATAATTTTAATATTAATATATTAATAAATACAAATTAATAATAATTATAATAATTAATAGTTAGCAATAATAATAATAATAATAATAATAATAATAGTAATAATAGTAATAATAATAATAGTAATAATAGTAATAATAATAATAATAATAATATTTTTTTTTAAATTTTAATATAAATATTATAAATATTTTATTGATTTTAAAAGTATTTTAATTTAATTTTTAACTATTATAATGAATTTTAATTATCATAATATATTTTGATTATTATAATGTATTTCAACTATCATAATTAATTTTAATCAATATAATATATTGTGATTATTATAATTAATTTCAATTTTAATCATGACTTTCAAGTCAAAATATTTTGATTTTTAATTTTACTATAACTTTCACATTAAAATATTTTGACTTTTAGATTTTAATATTAATTTTATGTATAGTTTTAACAGGTTCTGATTTTGATACCTAGTAAAAACTTTAGATTTTATCTACAGAGGGTGGACAAAAGTTTCTGGACACCTTTATAAATGCGATTTAAAAAATTTTCATCATATAATTATAATACTATATTGCGGTCATATGACCGTCTATTGTTTATTTACATAATCAAAATAAAAAAATTCATGTTTTTTTTGTTGTTTTGATTCACATAATCTCTACCAAATCAAAAAATAATGGGACAAAATAAAGAATTAACCAAAGAACAATGCGGAGCCATATTTTACTTAGCCAGCCCAAAGTCCTGATCTTAACCCAATTGAAAATTTATGGGCTGATATTAAAAAATACATTCGTGCATATTTAAAAACCACCATCGAATCTTGCTGACCTCGACCGATATGTTAAAAAGGCATGGCGAGAAATTCTGATGCATACTATTGAAAATTTAGTCGATAGCATACCACAGTGAATTCAGGCTGTGATTGCGGCAAAGGAGGCCCAATCAAGTACTAAAAATTTAATACGAAATGTATGCCTTAACCAGCTCTAAATAAAATAATATTAGAACTTTTATTATTAATACTAAGGAATTATAAGTTTTATATTTGGTGAAAAGTGTCCAGAAACTTTTGTTCACCCTCTGTAGTTACTTTATTATTTTTGATATAAATAATTAACTTAAAATGTTAGCTATTTAAAAATTTTGTTTAAATTTTATACTAATTTAAACTATAAATATTTTTATTATAATTAAAATTTATTACACTTATTTATTTTAAAATATATAATATATCATTTTAATTAAAGATGAAATTACAACTAGTTATAATTAATAATAAATAAGCATTATAAAATTGTAACTAGTTGTATTATTATTAAAAATTAAATTATAACCTTATTTTAATTTTTTATTTTAATATTTATTTATATAATAAATTAAATTAAATTGTTTTATTTATTTATTAAAAAATTTTTTTATTAAAATATTAATTTAATTAATTTATTTAAAAAAAATTAAAATGTAATATTTAATAAAATAAATAAATTTTAATATTGAAAAAAATTTATAATTTATTTTAAAATTTTAATAAATATATGATTAGTTTTAATAAAATTATTACATTAAATATATTATTTATTTTTTATAATTTTATTTTTTTAGCTAATTAAATTATTTTATATTATACAGATATATTAAAAGTATATTATATAAATCTTTTTATATTTATTTTTAATAAAGTATTCTAATAATATATAATTATAGTTTAAGACTTTAAATATTTAATATAATATTATCCTTTTTTGAATAAATTAACTATGATTAGCATAAGAATTGTTTTAATACAAATCTAATTAATAAGATATGCTATAAAAAGAAATTTATTTTATATTATTAATAATTAATTTATAAAATAAAATGAGTGGTAATTAATAAGAAAGAAAGTAATGTAAATTTTGATATTTTTTTTAATTGGTTCACTTGATTGATTACAGTCATATATTCAAAATTAGCTCAAAAACTAAAATAAGCAAAATTTCAGATTCTTCTTTTTTACTAATGTTCTTCTATATATTTAATTATTAAAATGAATTATAAGTAAAATATTATTTTATTTATATAATAAACTTTATATTATTTTATTATTATGAATCACAAATTTTATATATTTTAGTTTACAAATATAAAATTTGTTTTAAAAATATATTTTTATTTATATATTAATATAAATGTAAATGATACATTTATATTGATAAATCATATTTTAATTTAATAAAAATTAAAGTAAAAAAAATATAAATCATTATAATAAATAAAATAATAAATAAACTAATTCTAATTCTAATTTTAATATTAATTTTAAGTTCAATATAATTTATATTACTTTTTAATTATAAGTTTAATTCTGTTTGTTAATTTAAAAATAATCTTTGAATTTTAATAATAATTCTAATAACAAATAATATAATTATATTATATGGATATTTTATAGTAAAAAGGGAGGAAACCACTAAAATATTTTTTTTTTTACTTTATTTAGTAAAATAAATCTCAGATTCAACATTAACTCAAAAAAAATTTTTTTGGTAGTTTTCTTCCTTTTTACTTCAAAATGCCCATATATTCAAATTTATATGTTTATTCTTATATATTTATATCCTAAAAATAATAAATGATTTATTTTTATTTTTTAAAACTTATTAATATTTAAAGAATATTATATTATGACTATATCTTTTTTACTTAGTGGTTTCTTTACACTTTCAACATTATTTAAAAGTAATTACTTTATATTGAAAGTTTATAACCTTAGAATATATCCTTTACCCTAAAAGTAAACTAACTATCAACTACAATTCCTTATAGTAAAAATTATCAAGTATGATGATTTAAGAATATAATTTAATTATAAACTCAAGTGCCAATCAATTCCTATATGAAGGATAAAGGAAAAAATTATATTTTAAATTGTTCTTTCGGATCTTTATTTACTAAATCTTAATTTCCGCCATTAATCATCATCAAGAATTGGGTTAAGTCTAAATTCTCAGGTAGATGTCGCAGCATCCTGATAATAATATTTATTTTTAATTGCAAAAAAAAAAAATTTTAAAATATATAAATTTAAAAGAATTGAAGTAAAAAGTTTGAAAAATTCTTATTAAACATTTGAAAAAAAAATCCGAAATGAATCCCGACATCTGAAGTACTGTAACTGGTTTCCAAAGTCACGGGAATAAAGCGTGATTAAAAAAAAAAAAATAGGGAAATAGATATTATAAAATTTTTGGCAAAAGAAAATGGTCAGAGTTACTTGATTGATAATTTTTCAGGTAAAAATGTTACTAATGAATTGGATTATTATGCGAAACAATTGTTTTATTTATCCAAGTGTTTAACAACAATGAAATAACGATACGAACTTATACAAGAATTAATTCAATATTATCTAAATTAAAATCCTTTGAAACTCATATGGACGCTTTGCAGTAGAAAGGGAGTAAATTACAAAAATATAAATAAATTTTATTTTATATACTAAATATGATGTTTTAGTAAAATAAGTTCAGATTTAACCTTAACTCAAAAAAAAAAAAAAATTTTCACCCTTTCTACTGCAAAACGACAATTAAACGTAATGTAATTATCCCTTGAGACTTGGAAAAGATTATATAAATTAAATATTCATTTATTATTAATTTTTTTTTGCCTTAAAGTAAGTAGAAACAAACTTTAACTAAATAATTGAGGAAGTTGAAATTTGATTGGTGATTACAATTTAAAAATTTTGAAGTAGGAAAATCGGAAAAATGGTAATCATAAACAAACAAAAACGATCAACTTAATTTTTAAATTTTAACATTAATAATAAAAGCGAACCTATTAAAACCTTAGAGATGTAAAGACAAATTCAAAGATACTTGGAGACTTCAAAAATTTTGAATTTTAAAATTATGTTCGAAATTTACACAATGATAATTATGATGAAATTAATCATATGATTTAATGTCAATAATTTCTTAATAAGTTCATAACTTTGTTAGATCAATGAATGCATGCATGGATTTGGCTAATTATGCACAAGAAAAAATAATAATATTATTATTCGGCATCATTTTGTTACATATATGGAAAGTAAAATTGCTTTTTGTTTCAAGTTTGCCACTTTTTAAATAGAGCGCTAAAGATATTGTTGTATCTGCGATTTGAAACAATTTAGGATGATCTCGGAGGATTCGATTATAATTCCGCTGTAAATTTTGGGGGTATTTTCCACTGCATGCACATCATCATTGTCAGTCAAAAAAAAAAAAAAAAAAAAAAAAAAAAAAAAAAAACTTTAATCACAATTAATAATGGGCGTTTTGTAGTAATGAAAAAACCAAGTTTATCATTATTCTGTAAAATTTTTGCGTTTAATTGCATCGCATAAAAAAAGAAAGAAAAAAAAAAACTTTTAATCACCAGCCAGGGCAATTGAGCGGGAACCTTGCAGTAAGAATGAATTCCGGAAAAACCCAATTGTTCAAGAAGTTTGAATGCATCATTGCACATTGCATCTTTTTTTTTTTTAAAAAAAAAAGAATATTCTGATCAGAGAACACAATTGAATGGACTATTAAATGGGCGTAAAGCAGTGAAAATTCCTGGAGAAAACTTAGTTTATTCTGATTATTTGCGTCATTTCTTTTTAAAAAAAAAACTTAATTTGATCAGAAGACAAAGACATTTGTGGGCGATTGCGTCATTTCTTTTTAAAAAAAAACTTTATTTTATTAGAAGACAAAGACATTTGTGGGCGATTGGCGTTATTCTGTTATTTTTATTATTTTTTTTTTTTTTCCTTCTTTTTTTTTTTTTTTTTAAAAAAAAAAAAAAAAAAAAGAATTAAGTAAACAAAGCGATCGATTGAATTGGCATTAAGCGGTAGAATACTCCTGGGAAAAAACAAGTTTATAGTTATTTGCCTATGTATGTATGCATCATTGAATTTTTTTTTCTTAAATAAAATAAAATATTTTTTTTTTAGTCAAGAGACACGGTAGAAATGTATGAAAGCGCCGATTTTTTTTTTTTAAAAAAATAAAATACTTTGATTTGATCAGGGCGCAATGCAATTATTGAATGGGCGTTGTTAAAACCAATATTAAACATTAATTTTCCAGTCTGGACTCTGGACCAATTCTCAAAGATTATAATGTAGATCATATCAGTTCTAAATTATAATACAAATTATGTTACTTTTATGACAAAGAAATAAAGTATTAATGTGTGTTGATAATAATATGAAGGCGAATAAATATTTATCTTTATTTTATATTCTTTCAACAACATAATATGTTCTATTTTATTGAACCTGAAGCATTTGGTGGATCAAGAAAGAAGGGGCAGAAGAAGAGAGAACCAAATATGTTCATTTTATACCGTAAAGAAATGATGAGATATAAACCGAACGATATGACAATGGTCGAATTCAGCAAAATTGTATCAGAAATGTGGAAAATTTTACCAGAAGAAAAAAAGATTGAATTACAAAGAAAATATCAGATAGATCAACTTCTAAAATCACAAATTACAATGTTAAATATTTTATCAAAGAATGAAGAAACTAAATTGCAAAGAGAATATCAATGAAACCGGGAAAACACCGTGGAAGAAACCGAGTTTTATTATAAATTCAATGGTCTTAAAGACTTCTTAAATAGTAATGACGATATAAATGTCATTTGAACTTTATATTGTTTATTTACCAATTTTTACGTAACCTCACCAAAATTTTTAAATTCTAAATTTGTTATGAAAATGTTATTTGAAATTTTAATTATTCATCGTACTATATGGGCGAAAATCTAAAATTTTTTTCCCTTTTTTATTGACGCCCACCAATATATAGAATGATGTAAAAGTTTCTCAAATTAAAAACAGTCATTTATTTCTTAAAAAAAAAAAAAAAAAAAATGATAATAAAATAAAATAAAAGAATCCTTATGTGATTTTTTTTTATATATTTATTTATACAGTATTAGAAAGAATTTTTGGCTTGGTTTGTACAAAATTTCTTGTTAGTTCAATGTGCTCATATTGAGAACTGAAACCTGTAAAATAATTTCAATATTTCTGTTAATTAATTTAATAATTATGGGATTACATATATTCTAAATATAATGTCCTTCCATATTCATGTATTACAGATTCCGGGCAAAAAAAAATTTTGTGATGTCTAATAAAAGTTCTATAAACTAAAACTTCGAATTTTTCAATAATGAGAACATTACTAATAATCATATATTATCAGATTTTTAGATACTTCGAATAACTAATAACCTAATGATCTTTCATTAAGGTAGATTTTTTTAACAATCATATCATCTTAAAAGTATAATTATAAAAATTATAAATGTCGTGTATTATTGCGTATCAAAACAAAATAAAATAATTAGTCTTTCAAATATTGTGGCATTGCTTAATTGTCGATAAATAACGATGATTTAATAGTGAAATGGCAAGTTAATTGAATGAATGTAATCTAGAGGCGAAAGAAAACCATGTAAAGGGATTGATTTTAATCTCTGTGAGCGTATTTCGTTTAAATGACTTTGCCGATCCATACTGTATTTTACTTGTAGACATTTAAATTTATGTTACCTTTCAATAAAAATTCGGATCGGTCTTTCTTCAAACTTAAGTTATATTTGCTTTCCTGTATGTCAACGATAGAACTTATAATTTTTTAGATTTAGACATCACAATAGCGTTTTATCACGCGATATATGATAGTTATTACGCCATTCACACATTCACACAAGATCATGCTTTAAATTAATATTGTAATAATATTAGTATATGAAAAGTATAAAAAAGTATAATTTATTGCAATTATACCGTCGGCAAAAATTAAATATCAGTTATACAGAATATTGATATCAGAACGCGGTGATTTTTTTTTGGTTAAAAAAAAAAATATATTTGAACCGGAAGAGCTCATATTTCCCATATATGGTCACATAAATTTTACACAATATTGTCAAAAAAAAAAAAAATAGATTGTATACGCCCCCCTCTTATCAATCTCTTTTTTTTTATATATATTGTAAAACATGGTCTCTGATGTCTTTTAAAGTAATTTTCATCGATGACTTAATTGAAATGTCACGGGGCTATGAGCCAATAAATTTGACGAGCTGATTTTCATCCAAATATGGTAAAGTAATTAATGACATAATTTCTGTGGATGGCTAATTTCAATTGTCAATAAAAAAGCATTGTATGCGGAAAAAAATTTTTTTATTTTATTAAAAAAAAGGAAAAAAACAAACAACGTTAGCGCCAACAAAATAAAAAAAAAATTTATACATCTGGAACTGCGAGATGATGTTTCGGATAGATGTTTTCCCACCCCACCCACTCAAATTTCTTGTTAAAGGAATCCGAGAAGAAAATTTGTATAAATACGAGAATTCATTTAGCACGTAAAAAATTAAAATTATCAATAAAGATAATACTACTTTAATTCCTCTTAACATTTTAATTTTTATATTTCTTAAAATAATGAACGGTAATAACACCTTCCATTTTCTTGAACCTGAAACATCGAATCGAACAATAAAGGAGAAACCAAAAAAAAAGGAGCCAAATATGTTTATTTTATTTCGTAAAGAAATGATGAAATATAAACCATATAATAATATTCCAATGACCAAATACAGCAAATTCGTGTCAGAAATATGGAAAAATTTATCTGAAATAGAGAAGTTGTATTTACAAAGGAAATATCAAATAAATCGAGATCAAAAATTACGACAAGAACATGTGACTGGTAGCGATCAATGCAACGTAATCCATGAGAGAGGGCACAAACATATTGGACGATTACAAAAAAATGTAACCGACAAAATTGAAATTACTTCGAATCATCACGTGTTAAATACTAAAGTTGTTGCTTCCGGCCTGATTCGAGACTGTTTTTTCACCGAAAGTCCTCCGGACTTTATTAATGATGATTTCTTAAATTTCAAGAAAATTCATTTGTCGGAATTGTATTACGATCAATCACGACCGAAATCACTATCTCTATAAATAATTTTACTGACAAAATAATCTTAAAATCTAAAGCCTTTTAACAGCTAAATATTTGTAATATTGAAAAAATTGGAAAAGGTTAATTTAAATTTCGTGATCAAACGTCGTCGTCGTTTTTTTTTTTTTTATTTTTTTCAAGCAATTTGAAATCGAGTCAGTATTTTTCAATTAAACGCTTATCTAAGAAAACTAATAAATCGGAAAATAAATTAATAGCGGAAATTAAATAACGAACTTAACGAAAATAACGAATTCACAACGCTACAATATGAAAAATTATGAAATTGAAATAGCGAAGTCGATAATATCAATATCGCAAAGGAGAAAGGGAAAGGATTAAGGTGTATATTTGCAATATAAAGGAACGCGTAATTGTACATGCCACTCTTCTCTAAGAACCTCAAATCCCAGCATATATCAAGCTCGCACGCAGATCATTTTCATATTAAAAATTGTTTCGTGTAACTATAATTGATAGATCATCATGTGCCTCAATTAATTTACGATTACTTTTTTTTTTCATTTACGCGAATTTCGCTTTAAAAATAAGTTTTTTTAAGATCTTCTTACAAGTAGTTATAAATATACAACTTTAGCAATAAAAATATATGTAATTTTATGGAAGGAAGAAGATTGTCTTAGGTTGTAGAGTGTGTTGTTCGGTTGGATTTTATGTAATATATAAAAAATCGATTTTTTAAATAAAAAAAGAATTTTTAAATTAAAAAATTTTATGGTGACATGCTCTTAGCTTTGAATATAAATACAACATGACGGAAATAACAACTTTATTAAAGTAAGTAATTTATCATTTTCCTTGAATGACTCCATTTTAGCTAAATAGAAAATATTAATAAAAAACACTAAAAAATATGTAGAAGTTTAAGAACAATTATTAAATAATAAGAAATGTAGTGGCGAATATATTTTTTATTAATTAAAATTTTATATATTATAGGAAAAAATAAAATAAAGTTCTTTCTGCTTTGAATTATGGACTATATAGAGAGAAAGAAATCGATTATTAGGAAATTAAAATAAATAATTTTAATTTGAAAATTATAATTATTTATACAAAAAAAGATTTTGATATATTAATGGTTCTTTTTATTAATAAAAAATTTAAATATACTATTGCATTTAATTAATATTCTATTATAATAAAATATGAAATAGCTATAATAGAAATTTTTATTTTAATATTATAATTTTAAACAATAAAAGAAAAAGCTTTTTAAAACTATAAAATAGTTACTATAAAATTATAAACCTTAAGCCACATGTTTAAAGACAAACCGTTTAACTTTTAAAACTTACAAAAATGTTTTTGAAAAGTAAAAAATGATTTATATAAGATAAAAATTCAAATTATTAGCAATATCGCACAGTTATATTATACTCAAAGTCAAAAAAATGGCAAAAGAATATATAAAATTATATCAATCAACTGATTGATATCTATATAAATATTATTTACTATGATCAATATGCAATATATCCAACATTTAATATATATAAAATTGATCTATAAAGACAACTAACCAAATTTAGCAAAATTAATTTATGAATAAAATGTTTTATTTAGGTAAAATTATATAAAATATAACACTCATCATTAATTATAATTAAAATTGTTTAAAAGTATAGTTAATAAATTATAGTTAAAAATTATATTTATAATTATTCAAATTTTTTAAAATTTTAGTTATAAATTAAAAAATTTAATGATATAAAGATTTTAATTAGAATTCAAAGTTTTATGATTAAATATCAAAGATAATTATAGTATTATATATAATAATCATACTTTAGCTGTAAAGTATTTTATAATAGTAAAAAATAATATAATTATACTGGTAATAAATTTTCTTAATATTATTTTAAAGTTAATTTATATTTTTTGTTGCAATTTTCTTAGTATGTTTTTCAAATGTTAATAGAATATAGTTAATAGTTAGCTTAATTAAAATTTTTTTCTTTCTCGATTTATATATTTTTTATATACTATTTAATTGTAATTCAAATAATAAAGGCTTTAAAATTTTAGATTTAGTTTTCAGTTTTAATAACTAAAATAAATAGCTTAATTAAATTAGATTTTGTATAAATTAATATAATAAAATATATTTCAGTAATAAAATATTTAGCTGTTATATTTGATTATTACATCAATAATAAATTTAATTAAAGAAATAATATGTTAAAAATTAGAATCATATTTAATATAAAATTGAGATATTATATTATTATAATCAATTTCAACAATAAATAGTTTATTTCTTAGCAGCTGGATCTTAAGTTATTTCTTTTCTATAAGTATATAAAATTTTATATAATTTTTTTTTGAAATTATTTTATTCTTTATTTCAATTCTATTAGAATAAACTTTTTCTTTTATAATAATATAATTAAAATTATATTTAGTAGTATTTTTATTTATATGTTATAATATAGAATATTATTATTAAGTGAATATAATCTTTTTTATCTAAATTTTATTTTTAATATTAGTATTTAATGATATTTATTGTTAAAAAAGATTAAATTGATAATTTTAAATATAACATTATTTGTAGAAGTTGAATTTTTTATTATTATTTTATGTAATATTTAGATATTTTATATTTATTTATATATAAATATTTTAATTTTATTAAATTTATCATTTTTTTAAATTTTTTTTCAATATAATATTTAATATACTATTTATTAAAAAATTTCAAACGTCAATATACTACTATCTGACTATCTAAGTAATATATTTTTCCCATTCTGCAATTTAAAAGATATGTCAGTATTAATTTAAATTAAAAATTATTTAACAAGTTATTATAATAATATTAATAAAATTATTTTTATAAATAACTTTATTTAATAAGTTCTACAAAAATTTGATATTATTTTAGTAAATAAATATTAAAATATAAAATACAACTAGTTTTTATATTTTAGATTAATTTATATTAGTAAATTATCAAATTTTAATTTAGTAAAATGCAAAAAATATTTAGTTATTAATTTAATTAATAAAAATATCATTTATAAAAATAAATTAAATATTTTTAATCTAATAAAATACAAATATCAGTTATATTTCCTTTCAAATTTTAATATATTTTAGCTGATTTTTAATTTATATTAATTATATATCAATTAATTATAAATATATAGATCAAATTTTAACTGATTTCTTGATATATGCTAATTGACTATAAGTATACTAAAATTAGTTATAAATAAGATAAGTCAAATTTTAACTAAATTTCGCTAATTCTTGATATATATTATTAGTTAAATTTAACTGGTTTTAATAATTTGCTAATTTTAGACTAATTTAGGCTAATTTATTATATGTTTGATTTTTTAAATTTGATTAATTTTGTAATAAATTTCTGAATAATATTAATGAAATAGTTAATTTATTCAAAAAAAAGGATAAGTAAGAAATTTTCATTTTAATTTTATTGATTTTATTTTTATTTATATTATTATTATTTAGTAATTTCTTTTATTTATAAAAAAGGAATATTAAGATTACTTATATAAACTCATTTTGAATTTAACAATTAGCTTAAACTTTAAGTTTACTAATTTTTTATTAAACTTTTGATATAATGCATTTTATTAGTTTACTATAAGTTTACTTTTTTTAAATTTTGCAGATTTTTAATAATGTTTTATATAATTTTGCTAAATTTACCTTTTAACATTTAGATAACTTGTAAAAACTTTAGGTTTCATTTATTAATTTTAAAAAATACCAAATATAACTCATTTCTTATAAATTATAAAGATAGCTAAATATTAATAATTTAATTAAATTATAAATTTAAAATATATATTCAGAAAATAATTGTATTAATTATATTTTATAAGATATTGAACAAACAAAATCTTTAAATAATTATACAAAAATATTTTATTTTATTTTAAAGGATAAAATATTATTAGTAATTTACAATTTAAAATAGTAATCTTAAATATTATTAATAATAATATTTTATTTTAAATAAAAGTTTATATAATTATAATATATTATTACTACTCTATCATAATAAATATATTTTTAATATTGGTTTTAATTATAATAATTATTGTTTCAAGTATGAGAACAATTAATTTCTGTATTAAAGTAATATAATGTCATTATATTCTGCATATTAATCAATTAATAAAATTTTGTATTGCTGATCATATGAGGCTTTTGCAATAGAAAGGGAGGAAACTCAAAAAAAAATAAAAAATGAGTTAATAATAAATCTGAACAAATTATAGTATTTAAAACATTTTTGGCTTATAAACTAAAATTTTAATTTTTTTGGAGTTTCCTTCCTTTCTATTGCAAAGACTCCATATATATTTTATAAAAATTGAATATTAAAAAACTTAATTTTTATTATAAGTTCTATTATACTTCAGACTAGAACAGTTACTATTTTCTAGTTTTATATAATTAATTTATATGAAGTATAGCTGAGAATATTTTCAGTTAGAATCATTTTAATACAATATCTATGTATTTACATATATGATTAACTAATAAGATATATTATTATATTATTACATGATCTGATTTTTAAGATATAATTGTCTTTAAATTAAATAATAAAAATTTGAGTTATTTTTTTGTAATACATTTAAATATTATAAATTAACATTTTAGACATTATAACATTTTCTATTATTTAGTTTTAATTTATAATAATTATTCTAAAAATAATAAATAAAAAATAAAAAGATTGTAATTATCTTTAGAATTTGATAAAAAAAACACTTTGTACTAATTTTTCTCAATTAATTTTTGATAATATTCTTCACTTTCTTGAAGTGTAGTTTCTATTTTAAATATGTTTATCTTCAATATTTTATGACATTAATATGAATATAGCATTATATGATAATATTAATATGATTTAAAAAGTAACCAATTACAAATTTCTTAGCAATTTGACTTATATAAAGCTTTAATAAAAGTTTAATATCTTACTTTCTAATAA